CCAGCACAGGATCAGGGTGCTTCTCCGGGGCCCTGTCTGAGAAGCTGCAGAGCCCGGGGTCAGCCTGGGGAGGCTGCTGGCTCCCGCCTCTCATCCCTGGCTGCCATTTCAGCCCCCTCCTCCAGGCAGGAGAGGCGCTGCCCTGCGGAGGCAATGCCATCTCTGGACCCCCAACCCGACCGAGGGATTTCGGGCTTCAGCACAGCCTGCGGGCCTTACCAAGCAGGTGGCGAAACGGGTTCTCACGGCACTTGTGAGGAGAACCTGAGGTTCTGCCCAAGCAAGAATGGGGGTCTCCCTTCTCCCCTAGAAGACAGAGAGTCCTGTGACTGCGGCTTCCCTCGCTCCTGGGCTGGGTGTTTTAGTGGGGCCAGAGCCGCCAGGAGCTAGCTCCCCGGGAGCTGGTGCCCCACGAGTGTACCCCTCTGGGCTGGCTCCACGTGGGCCCCCGTGGCACAGCACTCAGAGCACATGGCACCCTGGCACCTGCCACGACGGGGTGGGGCAGGGCTGGCCGAGCTCAAGAGAAGGCAGGAAGTAGAGAGCGTGGGCCTGAGGGCCCCGAGCTGCCTCCTCTCTCCTAAGACCGGAGGCTGGGTGCCCAAAGCCGGCCGTCTGTAGCCACTCCCTATAGGAAATGATGCCGCTGGGGTCCCGAGGAGGCAGAGAGGGCGGCAAGGGGCATCCCCTGCCGACTCAGTGACTGTGAGACTCCGGACAGCCTGGTCTTCTCCCGGCTGACACGGGGCCTATGGTAAGGATCCCACGCACTGTCTGGCCAGGACTCGGCGCCCATGGCGAGCTGTGTGGTCACAGCTTCAGATGCTCAGGTCGTCAGGGCAGAGCAAGACCTCAGCTCCTCCTTGGAACCCAGACACCCATCCTTCTCCAGTGATTTAGGGACCCCCTATTCCGGAGCCCCGCAAAGTCCCCGGGTCCCTGTGCTTGCGTGGCGGTGCTTGTGAGCCCATAGGCCTCTGTGCGTGCGGCCGGGGTGGGCCAGGAAGGGGCTTCTCGCTACCTCCGCCCCAGTGCGCTGGTCTCTGCAGCCCAACAGCCCCCCGAATGGCGGCAGCAGACATGCAGGGACACACCCCCTGCTCCACTCGAGCACAGAAAACATTCATTAAGCATTTTAGAGGACAAGGGCACAAAGAAAAACACTCATTAGAAGCAGAAATAGTTTCCAAATGAGCCATACAGAATCTGCTGGAAAGTCTAGCCTGAAATGGGGCCTGTTCTCCTTAGGTTGTGGACGGGGGAGAATTGTCCAAACGGATGGAAAGTGGGGGCCCGAGAAGGGGATGCAGGAGGCGGCAGGAAGGCCCTTCCCTGAGTGTGAGAAGATCCCAAACAGGAGAGTCTGCGGGTGGCAGGGATGGAGACCGAGAGCCTGCTGTCCGGCTCACCCCAGGAGTGGCCCCCTGGCCAGAGTGGCCACCCGTCCTCCGGCCCCCAGCCAGGCTCAGGGCCGCGCAACTACAGGGGTAACCGAGTTTAGGCCACTGGAGGCAGAGGCAAAGGGTCAGGGGGCCTGACCCCAGCCAGCTCCAGAGCTGACCAGCGGGGTGGTCCTGGGTCTGGCCCTGCCCTCTCTGGGCCTCCATGTCTATCTAGGAAATGCAGCGGCTGAGCTCAGGGGAGCCGAGGGTCCTGGCGGCTGTGACACATGGAGGTTGGGGAGACGTGATGTGACAAAGGAGGTAGGTATCCTGGCCAGCAGCCGGGGCTTCTCAAGTCCCACGGCAAATCCCCCAAAGGCCCTGACCCAGCTGGGCAGATGACTTTGTGTGGAGGACACAGGTCATGACAATGACCTTATGAACTGTGGGGCTTCACTCCCCTCCCCTCTGCCTCCTCACTCCACTCGCCGCTCACATCTTCATAAAATATTTACCAGCAGTGGAGAGCGGCAGGGTAGCTCTCTCCCTGGAAAACCAGGTCACTCCAAAACTTTTCAGTGTTGTGTTGTGTTGGCTCCTGTCCCCCGCCTCTCCCTGATCGTCTGCTGACCTCCTGCCCCAGATCAGATGCTCTCTCACCCCTGGTCCTGGGGCGGCCGGCCCTTCTCTGCCTGCTGAGGCTTTGTGCTGGGCTATGGAGAGACGAGGGGTGCAGATCCCTCCGTCAGGGACCTCACGGCTGGGCTGCAGAGGAAAACCAGGTCTGTGTGGTCAGAGGGCCCTGCGCATTAAGCAGCCTGGGGACAAGTGGCATCCGTTTGGGATCCCAGAGGCTGTGCTGGCTGCTGGGTTGGCAGGGCAGTGGGGTTGCCCCTTGAACAAACTCTCCTTTACCCAGAAGCCCTCCTTCCTCTCCCTGCTCCCTCTCAGGAAGGCTCCCCTTGTCCCCCAGCCCCTCACACCCCTCTTGCCTTGAGGGACGTGGCCAGCAGCTGGTGGCTTCGGGGACGAGGCTGGCTTCCCGGGAGCTCGGGGACAGGGTGGGTGCAGCCTGCTTCCTGAACTCCTGCCTCAGGCCCTGTCCTGACCCCTTCATCCCCTGTCCCCCTCATCCCCCGCTGCGCCCAATCCCTTTTCCTGGTAATTGGTGTCAGAGACAAACTTGGGCCGATTTCCATCTGGGCCAGAGTCTCGTGGCTTCTTTCCTGTTTTATATCAGAGAAATTAACCTGGCCACACTGTCATTATCCTGGTGTTGTCATTAGCACTGGAACAAATTCCCATGAGTGGTGCCGGCTGCCACAGCGGCTGTCAGGTGCATGGGGATAGGCACCCCACTAATTGCTTTGGCCTTTGCTCCTCAGCCTGCTACTGCCCAGCCTGGGCTGGGGGGCAGGAGCCCTCACCCCTGTGTGCGCCCCCTCCTGTCGTTGCTCACAGAAACAGGGGCGATGCTCTGGACTGACAACTCCCTGGGGCTGGGAAGAGAAAATAAAGGGGCCCAGGTCTGCCCTTAAGAGACCAGTTCCTGTGATACTTCCTTTGGGGAGACGGGGTCCCCTGCCAGCTGGAAGTAACAGACCCAGAGGGACGAGAATCACCCCAAGTGTGTCTCTAGCATATAGTGGCCAGTACCAAAGCATGGGGGAGGGGAGGGCTGGGACAGCTGCCAACCTGCACCCCAACCCAGGGCCCCCAGTTTTCTCCTGGCCCCAGAAACCAGGCAAGAGGAGCCGAATCTGAATGAGTGGAATCCAGCTTCAAGGGGTAATAAGCACACCCTACGGCAACCCACTGGTGTCTGATTTGAGGAAAGTAAATTTAGTGGGATTAGAAAGCCACAGGCCATGATGGGATGGGAGAAGACAGGGGGAGGTGTGGGTGTGGGAGGGCAGGCCTGGAGGACAGAGCACCCCTGGAAGAGCAGAGAGCGAGGTTGCAGGAAAAGCTGGCTGGCAGGAAGCCAGCTGGGGCGCTGCTGCAAAAGAGGGCAGTGGGCAGGCCGGGAATCAGACTCTGGAATGCGTGCCCACGAAGAGTTTCGATGGGACAGGAACCATAAAGAAAAACAGCCAAACCAGGCCCTGGGGCCTTTGGAAGCCCAGGAAGGAGCAGACTGGGCTGCAGGCTGCTCAGGGTGAAAATATTTTTCGGCAGCCAGAGTGTGACCCCAGGGACACAAGGACAGGCTCCCACTTCACCAGATCCCTGCGTGCAAGGTGGGAGCCCCACACGCTACTCCCACAGCCAGTTCGAAGAGAAAACCTTTTGCGTTGACAAGACGAGGAGTATCATCGCATGACCAAGTGGGGGGCCCTTTCACAAGAACGTGAGGCCAAGTGATCAGGAAACTGGTCCTTTCAGGCCGGCCTCCCGGGGAGACAAACCCCGGAAACTGACAACAGGGCAAGATGTCAGGGAAGCCGTGCCTTTGCAAATCAGCACATCCTCGGACAATCTCAGGCGTCATCCGCTAATGAACTTGCTGAACCACAGACAATTATTTCTAGAACTGAGGGAGATGGGCAAGGGCTTGGAGGCAGGGGCTGGGCTGAGCCTCTGCGTCCACACCGAGACGGCTCTGGGCCCCGCAGATGCCTTCCAGGCCACCTTCCCTGGGACCAGGGGCCCCTCTGCGCCCTCTGCTCCCTGAATGCACGCCGTGACACTGGGGGCTGTTTACTCTCTGACAGACCTCTCCCAACCGCACTGCCAAGCCAGGGAGATCCTCCAGCCCCGGGGCCCTTGAACCGATGTGGATTCACAAAGTAGAATCATAGCGGGCAAGGTCAGAGGCAGCAAAGCCTGGGAAGAGGCAGAAGGAAGAAACTGGGGCACCTGGGCCCAGCCCCCGGTGGCTGGGGCCCACAGAGAGCAGCTGCGGATCAGAGGACAAGCTTTGCAGAGGACCCAGGTCCAGCCCGACTGAAGGATCCCTCAGACCTTCCCGCTCACAGGGGAGCACCTCTCCTCGGCAGGATGACCACCGATGACCACTCAGCCAAGCTGTGCGCGAGCACCACGGACACGGAGCTGGCAGCCGGGCCACCCTAGGGGGGCTCCTCCAGCCCTTTCTCTGTCCCATTGCAGGGCACACATCACAAATCAATGCCCGGACTCCTCCCTGCCGAGCCACGGGCTCCTCCTCTCCCAACAGCCATTCCGATCAACCCGACTGGCGCTGGCATGCCTGCAGAGCCGATCTTCCACAAGTGCCAACGACTGACTAACCCGCACGAAGAAATGGACATGCAGCCCTCAGCCCACAGGCATTTTGCTGTCAGGGGCAGAGGGCTCGGCCTCCTTTCTGTCCTCATCAAGAGGAAACAGGCACCCCGGAAGCTCCTGGTGGGGCTTTGTTCTCCTGGGGCAGGAAGGACTGCCCCCCCCCAGGCTTCTCCCCGTCCTGGCACCTGACGGCGCACCGGGCTGGCCACACACCTGGCCTCCGCACCACCCGCCGTCACCCCGAGGACAGCTCGCCGGGACGCCCCGGCCCCAGGCCGCCGCACGCAGGAGCCCCACGCCCGCACAGCTCCCTCCACAGACATTCCCCGGCACCGGAGACGGAAGAAGAACCCAGTCCCAGCCACCTACCTGAAGGAGCCAGTAGCACCTCCGGTGGAAGGTGGGGATGATGGAGGAATGGACATAGCAGCCGTACAAGCACTAGGGAGAGAGGAAAAACGAGAATTCAGTTGGAAAGAGGGAAGGAAGGGAGAGAGACGGCGCAACAGAGAAGGAACGAGAACGGGCCACGGACGCTGCCGGCACCCTGGGAGGCTGAGGGCGGGCGACTCTGGGCCTGGTTCCAGGGCCGGGACGGGGTCCGTATCTAAGAAGCACTCGCGGGCCAACACCGATGGACGGCTGGGGTGCTTTCCCTTTTGGGGGCCCTTAGAGGCATGTGAGAACCCAGAAAACCCTGGGCACCAGGACAATGCACATACGTATACATTTTGCCTATAATTTTAGGGGCTTGGAGTTACCCTTGAAGTTCATTCACAGAACCTAGGTTAAGACCCCTCGGTGTGTAGGGAGAGAATGAACCTATCTGGAATCGATTCAAACACTCACGCACGCAGGCACCCACGCACGCACGCACGCACGCCACACTCCAGACCTTCCCTGGTCAAGGACGTCGTGCCAGGCAACCCTGGCTGGCGGGACCTCTGAAGCTGGTGGGGGACGGGTAGGGGGCAATGCTTCTAGGACTGCCTTCCGGAGGCCGAGGGGCCCCTTGTGCACACGCCACTTGCTGGCTTTTAGTTTGTTCATTCATATTTCTGTTTGTTGTAAGGTTAAAGCTGCATCTTTGGCAGATGGTTTTGGAGAATCAGGTGGGTGTGTGCGTCGGGGGCGGGGGGAGGCAGTGGGACGGGACACTTGGACCGGGTGCGTGGAGCCTCCCCGTGTATGGTGCACACAGCACTGGACACTGTGGGGACAGGCTTGAAGGTAGAGGCGGGGAACGGGGACCGATGAGAACTGCCCTTCAGGTGCCTCTCAAAACCCAGCTCTGAGAGTCTTGGGAACAGGATGATGCCTTTTCTTTTGTGGCCTCGAATTCCAAACCAGAACACTGTCTTGCCATCTCCTGCAGTTTCCCTGGCTTCCCAAAGCACAGATTTCCGAATTGGTGGGGTAGAAAGTGAAGGCAGGACCCTGGAGCCTCACAGGCCCAGGATGAGTAAGGTCTCCCCTTGACCCCTCAGTGCTCATTTGAACCTCACCACAGCACCATCCCCTTGCCCCCCGGCACCGGTGCTACAGGGAGAACCAGCCAGCAGCTCTGTATTTAAAACACTCCCCAAAAGACCGAGTGCGATCCGGTTCTACTAGGAGTACATTTGAGCCCTGCCTGTCTGATTAGCAGAGTTGAAAGAGAAATCAGTTTGGACTATGGGATTCTGGCTGTAAGAAAATCAGATTTCCAATATGTTAGAACTTTTACAGATTGCTGTCAGCTGGGACTAAACCCTGTATAAACCAACCAAACAAAGTGGAAATTAATTTAAATGATTCTCTTGCAATTCTTGCCCACAAAGTATATTTATTATTAAGAAGCCAATATTCTTTCCTGACTTTTCTGGTTTTTAATACACTGCATTTTCACTTTTATTTCTGATAACTCACTCCTCCTTGCCGAAGGAGACCTCTGTTTGGAACGTTTCCTGTGAGCACTTGTTTGCCACGAATGAGCAACCCACCTGCAACTTTAATCAGCTCTTTTCCTTTGGAATTTGCATATTCTCATGGGCAGTTTCATTACTCTTACTCACGGAATGAGCCAAATGGAGAGAGACATAAATTGTTGAGAGAAGAACTCTCTCCTGTTTCTTTGAAATAAAAGGCTACACATCTGCTTTTTCCCACTGTTCATTCCTCTTGAGGGTTTGCAGACACCCCCCCCTTCACCTGTCTCCCTCTCTTTCCACTGTCTTTTCTTGAACTTGAAAAGAATGTGGTTGATGGGCAACCCCGTCTACCCCCCTTGACTGCTGATCTGCCTGGGCTGGGCTGTAGTGTCTTTGAACCACACACGAGGACCCACCGGGAATTTACCCAAAGCCTACTTCGTGCTCCTCCTGAGAGCCCACAGGAAGGAGACAGTGCGTGCCCGCTCTCCCCTGAGCCACCCCAGCACCCACAGCCTCGCCTGTCCAGAACTGCCCAGTACCAGTCAATAAGCAGGATGATGGTAAAAGGAAACATCGCCATTTCTACAACAAGGCTCATGCATTTTAATCAGAGGAACACGCGGGGCCTCGCTCAGAACCCAGCTACTCTATTTTTAGATATGACTCTAACCACCCTGGTGATCCAATGTCTCTGGTCTCCACAGATGAGAAGCATGATCTAGGAAGGCTGGGGAGAGGAAAGCAGACCCCTGAGAGAGTGAGCCATGTCAAGTAGCATCCAGGGAGGAAGGAAAAGCCCCCAGAGAGCCCCAAGGACTCAAGGAGCCCAATGGCATTGACCCCCTTCCCATGTCGCCAAGCTCCCCGTGACGCCATGTTGCCAAGCTCCGCATGAGCTGCCCATGATGCCGGGTCTCCCCTGGCTCCCTGCCTAGCTGCACTTCCAGGACTGGGAGCTCCTGGAGGCAGGGAGCCCCAGACCCCCTGAATGATGATGGCCAACAACTGTCCTACTGGACTTCACAGGAAAGTACAAGAAAGGACTCAAAGTCAGTAAATATTGCATTTTTGCTTGCGGTATTCCAAAGGCCAGGTCTTTAAACCACATGCTAGAAAAACATCCTGGAAAATGGCTCCAAATTTAGTGCTTACAGGGCTAAGCTTCAGTTTCATGACTGAAGTGTGTCAGTCGACATGACTCTGAGTCATGTCGAGTAGCTGGTTTACAGTCCTTGTGGGGAAGGAAACTTCCAGTAACCCACCTTGGCAAGCTGGAGTCAGCAAAGAGGGGCTTCCGGAGAAACAGGTCCTGCCTGGGGTGAGGGCCTGCTGGGAGGGAGGGTTCTTGTCCTTCGAGGCTGTGAAAAGGGCACCTTCCTCCTCCTGTCTCGTGGGTGGCCGTGGGGGTCAAGGGCTGATGCCCGAGTAGATGCCGGGAGCATTGCAGGGGACAGTGGGAGAGGGAGCCAGAGGGGCTGGGCGCTTCAAGATGAGCATGGTTGGCTGGGGGAAGAGTGGAGGAAGGAGTGTCAGTCCAGCAGCCGGAAAAGCAGCTGGGGACAGGAGGAGAGACAGGGCCTGGGCTGAGGACGTGGGAGGGATTAGAGTGTAACAGGCAAGGCGGGGCATGATGACAGTCCAGGTCCGGGAGGTCGGGTCTGGTCACAACAGCCGTGGGGGCCACAACAAGGAGCTTGACTTTGTTCTGGGACATCATGAACAGATCTGCCTTTTGGAAGCTCAGTGTGGCACAGCATGGCCGAGGGACAGAGTGGCAGAAGGTGAGGGGCCCGGGACCAGCCCTGTGAGCCCAGAGCCCCACTGGCCCTGGATGGCAGTGGCAACAGGACAGGTGTGGAGGGGCGACCACACTTGCCAGGTGTAAGGGCGTCTGCCCAGCCTCCTGGCTGCACGGACAGGTGTGTGTGTGTGTGTGTGTGTGTGAGGGCGGGGGATAAGTGGTCCCATGCCCAAGACAGGAGACCCCAGGGGAGCAGCAGCCTGGTGGGGGACAGGCTGATTTCACATTTCCACTTGGTGAGGTTGAGGAGCTCCTAAGATCTCCAAGCGGAGACACGGGTTAGAGTAAGGTGCAGAGGTCTGGTGCTCGGGCGGGGCTGGAAGCAACAATCGGGGATAGGGATGGTGTTGGGAGGCAACAGAGAAGCCGGGAAGGGGTGTCTGTCCAGGCTGGCTTCTCCAGCACAGAGCCAAGCCTTCAGGTGCACGGAGCAGGCGTGAACTTGACGGTACTCAGCTCATGACTGGCCTGGCTCGCCCTGGGACCCCACACCCTGGCCCTCCCCACTTTCATTGACGGCGCACCTCCCCAGCCAGCCCCACAGCCCTGATCCCAGACTCTCTCGCCAGGTCCCTTTGTGCCCGTGTCCTCACACTGCAGCTCTTTGTCCACAACAATGTCCTCCCCAAGCCCCCTGGGGACAAACTGCACACGATTTCACAAGGCAGCCCTTCAAACCCATTCCTTCCCCTCCTACTAATCAAAAAAGCAATCAAGTTTGTCTGTACTGATCTGTGTTTGACAAACTCTTGGTGCTTTTTGATTAGGCCTGGGGCTCCCCTTGGGCCTCCGTGGGTTGAGTTTTCCGTTTGGGGGCCATGACGGGGTTGGAGGGAGAATCACTTCCCAGAGCAGGTGGCTACAGCTGTGTGTGTGTGTGTGTGTGTGTGTGTGTGTGTGTGTGTGTCAGCGTGAGGTGTGTGTGCACAGGTGTTGGGGGTGTGCAGGAAAGTGTGCTGGGAGCCCCTTGTTTATGTGCATACAGCGAGAGAAAAAGAGAAAGCAACTAGCTATTTATAGGACACTCAAGGGAACTTCACCCCTAGCTGGAAACAACTTTCAAATTCGTTATATTTGCGGAATTAAGGTCTGACGGCTTCCCTTGAATGTGACAGCTGAGCAGGGAGGAATTTTTCTCTTAAATACTCAAAATTGCTTTTCTGACACTACAGGGTTCTTTTCCCCCTTCTTAAATAAAAAGGAAAGATGAATTTACAGGGACACCAATAGGAAACAGGAGCTCCCTTTAATTCAAAATACACACTTCCTATAAAGAAAGGGCACACTGGCTGCAAATCTTCTCCAACGGATTTTACCCCAATGCACTCAGGTGCTGGGAGTCCCCCCTACATGCCAGACAGTATGACAGGCCTCAACACCCAATGGCCTCAGTCGGTGAAAGAGGGGAACACCTCTGGGTGCTGAGCAAAGCTTTGGTGGTTGGGGCACTGGGACACTGTGGGACGCCTCTCCTTTCTGTCCAGCTATCAGTGGCTTTGTGTGACCAGCTGATTCCACCCCTCTCTCCCTCTCCTCCCCTCTTCCAGGAAAAGCTCAACCCTCTGTGATCCCCTCCACTCTCCACTGGGGCTCCAGAACACGGATGCACTGTCCTCAGCCTGACCTCGTGCCTCTCATTCCCTCACTCCTCCTCCTACAGTCCCACTGCCTGTGCAAACCCCTCCCAGCCTGAGTGCCTCTAGGTTCTCCCTCCCCCAGGAAGCCCC